TGAAATGAATTGCGAAACCATTCAAAACCATTCGTTCCGTATTTTGGTGCTGTTCGTAATTTACGATTTCAACCCGAACGTACAACTGTTCAATTTCCTATACAACCTTACATTAGAAGCGATTGAAAATTGTTGCAAAATGGGTTCAGGAAAATGATCGATCAATACATTTATTACCCACAATAACCATGACAATAAAATCGAGAATGGTTACACCAATAATAATAACACTGATAATCTAAGTGGATTGATAAAAACAACCGTGACACCAACAAAACTTCGAACCAAGAAAAATAAATATAATCCGTAATTAAACGTTCAGGAACAAGTAATTTAACGTCAACGAAGCGATCGCTTAACAGTACCAACGCGATGACTACAAAAGTTGAAACAACCGTTCGTCAGTGGTCAACTCCAGTGCAAAAAGTTGTTGAAGGACAACCGCCGAGACCAGTGAGTTTATTCACTGATATCTCATTAAGTAGATGGACGAGATTGATTCTGACTGAACTGCGACTATCTCTAATCATTCTATCGCTCAGCTTGAAGAATATTTCATTGCACTTGAGGAATTTAACTTCCTTTACCCAGCTCTTCATTCCTGTTGACACGTGCCCTTACAATCGCAGCTAACGTTGTCGTAGCAGTTGAAATTACGTTAAATTTCCAACAAAAAAGAACACANTCAATTAATTCAATTATGTGGAATGTTGCTCGTTCCATTCGAAAGATATTTTGCGATTTTTGTATGTTGATTCACTGATTAATTCGCAATTAGTATTCGTTCGAAATTTTTCATGAATTAATGGCAAAATACCAGTCAGTCATGCATTCTAACGATTCCACTATATTCTCACTTGTTGAATTACGCTCTAAACAATAAAGGCACTTGAAAGATTCGAATACTCCAGCTTTTTATCTATTAGTTTCGAGCTGAATGAAAGAAAATGCAAATTTTTATCGAGCGATTCAATAAATCATTGTATTCAATGAATCCGGCTATTTTATGAATGCTGTTCGTTATGCGATATAATGTTTCTCAAAGAATTGCATGACAATCTTCATTCAGCTACACCACTGTCAGCCACATATAATGAGTGCAAAAAAAAAAATGTTTCTGCCATAAACTGGTCGTTGTTACTGCAAAAGGTAGACGAATACATCTCTGACAATAAGCAATCCGTTTACGTTCCCTTTTCTTCTCCAAATCGCTATAGAAATCTTATTTTTGTTATGATTGAATATACCTATAATAGTATCATTCCCGTTGGTGTCGTGATCGCATTCCAGTACATTCGAGCAGTTGTAATCATATTCTTATATGTCGACTATTTGGCTGTTTACTGATGTCAATTCATCCTTTGTCTTACATTAAAATTAGAATTGTTCCAAAATGATTCCAACCTCAATTCTAAATAAAGCATTTTACATTGTATTGTTATAAATTTCAAAATTTCTATTGCTTCCTCCATCACCTGTGGTTTATTCAACGCGGATACAACTTGTTTTCCGTTTTTGTCTGAAAATTTCATTGATCAATTCATACGCTTTTTGGAAATTTCTCTCATTTTTCGTCTTGTTATGTTGATACCTATCAATATAAACCAATATGGTGAATTCAAAAGTTGGTTTTTGCGAAATGCATAGATTTATTTGAGTAGACGATGTGTTTGAGCGGAGGTACATGATGATTTTATGATGATTAAATCGAATATCAATTTAAATGTGATCAATAGAAAGCCAATTTATGTAATAATAGATACGAAACAGGTTTTCGAACTGCGATGTATCTTGATGTTTCGTTATTAATGAATGCTATCTATGCATCGCGTTGTATACCATACATATATGTATGTGTTTCACGATGACATTGATGTCTCGATTTTGATTCTTCGCTTTGATATCATTCAGCGTTATTTAATCTGTTAATGTTCTACATTCATTTGCATTTTATTATCTTCCGTGTTTATTCTGTCTATCACCTGGGATATTGGTGTTCGTGAAAATATTCGTCGTTCATATTCTCACTGCTTTATTGGTGACGATGAGATTCGTGAATGATTTTGATTGCTGACTAGAAATTGCATTGATTGGCTTCTATCGCCTTCCTGCGTGATGCAACACAAACGTTATTTGATGCAGCTGTAGTATTGTGACCATTGTTGTGCTCAATCAAGACTGATAATTGTTTATCACTAATTCATAATGAATCAGCAAATTAACTATCGACGATTTTCACCGAGGTTCATTGAACGCCTCAGAGTTTTTGTACGTCTCATTTCTTATTCGTGTAATCTAACAATTTTAGCCAATCAATATTCTATAATTTTAAACGAAAATCGTGATTCCGAGTTAAATCAGCATTCAAAACTGTGCTGAACTACAATTTTGTGAATTACAGTCATTTTGAAATTTAATCTCGAATATTATAGCCCATTGAATGCATAGTGAAATCTTTCGATTCTTGTTCACTTATCACACTTTGTTGTTTCACCCAGCCATGTGCTCCTGCGATTAAGCTTTGACAATGCTCAACTACCTTTCGAGAGTCAGTTTTTCCATGAAAGAATAATCCTTGTGCGGCAATTAAACGTGATCATTCGAAACAAACTGAACAGACGGAACTATTTTCATATTTTTCGCCAAGGATCATTGTTTTTCATTGGTTTATTTTCAAATTTCCGCAGTACACTAGAAAAGTAATTTGTGAGAAAGATGTGTCAAAGATGAACAGTAAAAAAAAGACGAAGATAAATTGAAAAGATGAAATTTATACACTTCGCTTGCAACAGCTGTCTGGAAATCGAAGAATTTTCATGTGCTGAATTGAATTTATTTACATCGGTTCCATTTTCCAGATGAATTCTTCAATTTTCATGGCTGAATTCTCAAACTATTAATCGTATCAATTCAAATTTTTCATCCAAAAAAAATCAAATGTAGTCGAAAAAATCATTCATCAAATAGTTGAAATGAATGCTGTTAGATAATCCGATCATTAACATGAATACTCTTCTTAAGATCTTAACATGAGTTTATTTCAGGAAGATAATCCGACCACAATAACCGGTGAATCAAGAAGAGCCGATATAAGAACGATCACTCCGAACTATAAATATGGCACTGAAAAATCAGTTCGTTTTTTAGATTCAACATCTCTGCACTCATACCCAAAACCAACCAGTATTCCACTCAAAATTTTGTGGTGTCAGGCTTGCGTAATTATATTCAGAAATTTTGAGAGATGCGATGCTCAAACACACAAATCACTATACTATATGTACACTGTCTTAATGTCAGTTTCGGAAAATTGATATATCAGTGGAAAGGCTGTGATCATACCTGAATTTCACTCACCGTGAATGACCTCAAACGAGATACTGAATTTGAAATATGTCAAATTTCAGTCTTACGAAATGAAATTTGGTTCCTCTACAAATCTTCCTGAAGCAGTTGGAGATTATAAGGTGATCAGTTATTTTCTAGCAGTACCGAAATTGAAGCTCACTCAGATCAGTTGAAGAGCGTGATTCCTCTTCTGTCCTGAAGTTTATATTCACTGCAGTCAGTTTTAAGTTAAACTGCACGTCTGGAAAAGAGAGTATTGAAAATGTGTGAAAATGAGGTGCAGGCCATTGATAGAACGTAATGCAATCGTTGAAAACAATGCAAGACAATTCGTCGAAACATTTTGCGGTTGTTTTAGCAAAAATTGCTTACGTTACCAGTTGTACCAAAACATTTCTTGTCCCTCTCAACGCGACTCATAACCCTCAAATTGCTACGTCCCTATGTATATGGTGGGTTGTGCACTAATTGATATTTCATGCAAAATTTCAATAATATGATTGACTGATCAGTACGCGCTTAAAAGGTGCACTGTCAAGAGATTCGCTGATCAATAGAATACTTTCTGAGACGGTGCTTTGTCAGGATGGGAGAAGAACGACGAGTTAATGTCATGTTATCGCAGTGAATGATTTAATTAAAAACAATGTTGAGGTGAAAGAGACGCAAGATCATTTCAAGTTACAAATAATCGACCCAAAGGTTGTGTCTAATGCAAATATGCCAGCATCGTCCGGCACTGTTCCAGCTGCCTATCATCGAAATATTGACTTTCCCAGTGAACACAGCAAACGTTCATTCTTAAAGCTTGAACCAATGGAACAACGCAAAATACGTGTATGTTTCTAGTGACTTCCTTTACGACTCTTCATGCACATCTGATTCGCAGAGTTTTCGAATATTCACAAGTTTTGCAAAGCAGTTATGTCTTGCAACAATCAAACTTCATCATACCGAACTGAAAGACAGCGTTCAAAAATTTCAAACACACAAATGACAGGCGAAACTAACGTCAAATGACTCAGTCTCATCTTACTGAAACATAACATTATCATGTTTAAACAATCATGCCTGATAGTCTTGTTACTTTGCAAACATTTTCACTTAAGTTGTTCTACACGAAAGCTGTACGTTCATAAACGACAATGATATTATTATTAATATAAAAGTTCCATTGAAACGATTGTGAGTGAACAGTGTGCCCAATCCAGTCATGAATGATTCTAAGGAATTTTTAAAAAATTCCGTTAACAATAAATTTTTGATGTGCAAAAGCATTCCTTACTTATATTTGTTCAGTCTTCTATGTTTGCAAATACATTCAAATTCCATTTTGCTCCTTTCTAGTCGGCAACCAGTTTCGACGTTTTGAGAGTATCGTTGTTTTTTCGAAGTCTACAGTTTATGTGTTTGAACAAATCTTACGGCCTTTTACGACTCATTCGTATGTTGTAAGAATGCAATTTCTAATGGGTTTCTGAAATTTGAAGACCTGCCCCTGTTCTTGCAGTCACAAAGAAATTATTTGGTGTTTTGTGTGCAAGAGGAGATAATAAAAGTTCACAATACATTATGTAGTCCAAATACTTAACGATCCGTCACAAATACGATAAGAATGCTTGAATTTAGGCTTAAAATAATGATGATTGTGCTAGGCGGGATATGATGCAGGCATATGATCCTTTTGCATCGCATCCATGAGGATTATTGCATGAGTGTAGTTCCATATTTTACTCATGTCAGAAATCATTTTTGGTCATGCGATTAGCTGAAAGATTGGATAAAGTCATTTTTGGTTATGCAACTAACAGTTAAGGTCCGATGATGCATTAATGAATATGTTAATGTGTTCAAAATGATTCACAATAAAAATATTGAATGAACTACAATTTGAAGTCGACCCAAACTCGCCCGATAACAACAAGTGCGTATCTCACTGAGAGTCTCGATCGACATCGTGAGATGGAAGCATCTCGATTGAAGGAGTATTTGAGGGCTAAAGAAAGTGATGCTAATAAGCCGTGGAATAAACCTGATTGGCCTGCTTCAAAGGTATCACAATGATTCCAGCACCTTACCCTTACGCTCACTGAAATAGTTCGAATATTCTGAAATTTTATCCATTATTTGAAGATGCAAAAATTTCTGTATCATTTTCATGTGTAAAGGCATTTATTGCAATGAAAATTTTCAAAGGATCCATCCAATATCTATCATGAATTCTGTCGTACTGCATGGATAGAAGTTTCCAGTTCGATCATGCAAAATGAAATGTATGATTGCTTGATTGATATTTTCGATNTTTTCGATATGAAATTTAGTTTTTTTTTGCAATGGAAATCAATTTAAAAAATATCCGTTAGTGAGGTAATTTTACATTCCGGACGAATACTTTCCATAAGTGGTTTGTTATTGCGAGCTTTTATCGTTGCAGGGAAGACAAGACAACGAGGAAAGTATTAGAGAATTGGAGGAGATCAGAAAGGTGATGATTGCACATTCAGTTCACTCGTTCTATTTATTTTTCGATTGCATCACTCATAATTATGAGTTATTTCGGTGTACGTTGCAGACAGTTCAACATGTCATCATCGATATTTTTCGGTCATGATTGGATTTGAAGTCTATAATGCAACTGAAAATTTAATTTTGGAACAAATTTTGAACACATTCAAAAGGATATTCGAATATTAAATGTGAAAAGACTGAGATTGTCAAATGATTCAAATAACTCGAATAAAGTCAATCATTCGCAGATATGTAGATCACTGTGAGTGGGAATATACCGAAATCATGGTTCATGAATTATTTTTTGATAATTAAATCGGCAAACAAAAAAACTCAGTGTGGGAAAGAGGGTTGATTTTCGGGTGAATTGAGAGTGTAATTGAGGTGCTGGATGGATGAATAATGCTACGTTGATTTGTGCCTCATTGCATTTAATCTGCATATAGCAAACATCATAAAATAAGCGATTAAATGGTGCAGAACAATCATTTATCATGCCCATATATATTTGTGGAACCTGAATTATCCTCTCATTTTACTACTATTCACTCATTCAAAATCTGTTCCTCTCAAACTGATCGCTCATATTTAAGAGAGTTATCTGTACTTATTGAATCCATTTTGACATTGATAAATTCAACTTCGAACATCTTACATTTACTCTTACAACTTACAACGCCATCTTACAACTTTACCACTGCCTATATAATCTTTGTATTTCGGCTTTTAATTTTTATTGCAATATTTTCAACGTAAGTGAGCGTTTCACTATGAGAAACATCTCCGAACAAATTGCTTCCCTCGTTCAGAATGTCATATATTGCGCACTTCTCTCAGCGAACGTCTGAAAAACTGCCACTCCGATCCTAACGAACCAATTTTTTTAGGTTCCATTCATTATCACTAACACTATCGTTAGCATTATTATTGGTCGAATGTTTTGCTATGATTAAATGTGATATTTGATTTTCAGACGATCGAATCACTTCAGAAGGTTACTTACTCAGTGTGTGATACTTGCAACATTTTCCTTTCGAATGCACCAATTACTAACACCAAGTTTTTTATATCAGTTACAAGCACTTTCCCTCTTTATGTGCACCGCTGCCTTCATTATTACTCAAATTCAACATTTCCAATCAGTTACTACTCAATCCAAACATTCCATTCTCTGAATAACTAGCCGCATTCATTACTTCGTCATCATCCTAAAATGAAAAGCGGAAAGAAATTGTATGGTTTGATTAAAATAGAACAATCGTAGGATTTAGCAGGTGTAATTTAGCTCAAGTAGTTATGTGATTATCAGTTATGTGATTTGTGACGAATCAAAAATTACTTTGAAGTCATGAAAAAAATCTGATTTCTAAAAGTATCCGAATAGATTCAACGACTTTGCATCATATGACTGAATCTAACTTGTTACTGTGATGATAACTTCACCCAAACTTAATGGTTTTTCGTTTCATCACTGCGTGGATGTTTTTCGTTTCATCGGCTAACATCACATCGTTTGACTATCTCACTGTTAACACCATTTTAACGGAACTGAGACAGAGATTAAATGGCTTGGTAAGGGCCATTATACCGAAATTATCCGTGGAATGGGTTTGGTTGGTACGAATAAAAAGAAATGCTATCAACAAAATGCTCCTCTACTGATGATATGCCGATTTATTGATATGTTCTATCTGAAACGACCACTTTACCATGATCAAATATATAAACTGTTTTGCATGTGAGTTATCAATTCACTCTTCCTTTCCCCTTCGCATTATTCACACAATTTGAATTATATTCATATTTCATCGATGGATGACTGTACTCTATGATTTCTATTAGAAAATGATCTCAGTTCGAAGAAATTTGAAGATTTATGTGCAGTTATTATTGTAGCATCCTCATGAAGAACACAAAAAGTAATGTTCCATCAAAATGGATAAGGTTAATCCGAATGAAAAGAATCACACCATAGAATGCCAACCACTTTTTGCGCAGTGAATGATGGA